TGCTATGGGTCAGAAACAACTTGATGCCACTTAACAGCAACAACTATGAAGGAGCCCTGGTGTGGGGCTATAGGATATGCCCTGGACCTCAAGGTCGGTTTGAACCTCAAGGTTGGTAATTCAAATTCACCAGCTGCTCCTCAGAAACCTTACGCAGGGTCGCTATGAGTTGGAACCAACTCAACAACACTTAATAACAACAACAGCAAAGCTATGACTCTATTGGAGCATATAAGCGCACCAACTATAATTCTTGACACACAGTAGGTGCTCAGTGGATGATACTCTCACTCCCTTACAGATCCCAATTAAATATTTCTCAGTCACAATAGTGCACATTCTCACAACTGGTAACATGTCTAATTTACTCATCTCAGGGACTCATGCTTCAAAGCATTTTTAACATATTAATAACTGCCTAGTTAATAAATTTCTAGACTTTTACCTTATATTAAACAAATTCATTCAGAATTACAAAGAAGAAACCTAGCTCTCTTGTGGAATCCTAATCTTTAAATTCAACAAAGAGTTGGTTTTTCAAGATTTAAGAAAATGCCCTTCCACTGTCTGTCCAAATTGTTATCCAGTTTCTTTAAAAAAAAAAAAAAAAAAATCTCTCTCTTCCTGTCTTTCAGATGAGTCTGATTTCATCTGTAAAGCATGCATGATGAGCACATTACAATGTCCTCCTCCAAAAATGTGATGTTACAGTGTGGGGCCCATTCCAAGCTGGATAGCAAGGGAGAGGTCACATGTCCAGTGTCCATGCACTCACACAGAGAACATCTCTGTTCAAGCCACAGAGAGCATCGTTATCTTGGCAGTCTTTTCACAAATAGGAAGAACTGAACACAGTTTGGGGTGAATTACTCAATGAAAATTCAATCAGCAATACGAAAGATAAAAAATTATGTATCACCATTTACTGCTATTCAGTGGTGAATCAAACAAATCATTTTTATACTCAGAGATAGCAATATTTTGGTGGATGCTACAATGTAATGAAACAACATACTACCATGAAATCATGAACATGATTATAAATCAATTATCAGGTGTTTACTGAGTGTTTCACTCTATATCCTGCAACGTGCCACTACTTTGGGGGTTATAAGTGAAGTCGAATTTAAACTAATGGATATGGGCTCATGGACCAACAGTTGAAGAGAGAAAAATCTCATCAGGAAAAAAGTGAACTTCAAATAATCCCTATTGAGTATTAACTAGTATAGGGTAAAAAGAGGGAGACCAATTTGGGCTAGAGTGGTTTTGAAGTGTTCTATGCCATCACTGGAGACCTGGTATGGTGCTGTGGGCTAATGCATCAGACTGCAAAGTTGTTTGAACTGCAAAACCAGTGGTTCAAGCTTACCAGCTGTTCCTTGGAAATCCTATACAGGGTCGCTATGGGCAGGAATCGACTCAACGGCACTTAACAACAACAACACTATCATTTGGAGTTCTGGTGTGGTGCTGTAGAATGAGCACTGAACTGGAAACTGCAAGGTCAGTGGTACAAACCCATCATCTGCCCTTCAGAAACCCTAAGCAGGGTCGCTATGAGTCAGGAACAACTCAACAACACTTAATAACAGGATCCTTTACAAGTCTGGCAAAGCAACATTTCTTTAAAACAAATATAGTCATGTGATGATTGTTGTTCTTAAGTGCTGTTGAGTCGGTTCCAAGGAGTAGCCCATGAGTTTTGAACCGCTGACCTTGAAGTACAAACTGACTTTCTAATCCAGTACTTATCCTACAGTACCACATTGTTGTTGTTGTTGTTGTTAAGTGCCGTAGAGTAGGTTCTGAGCCATGGCGACCATGTTTCTAAGGTTTCCGAGGAGCGGCTGCCCTGTCTAAAACCCATCATGCTCAGAAATTAATCTCCGAATTTCTGAGTGAGGCATATAAGGAGCTGTATTATGTTGTCCCTCTGAGCTTCACCTCATGCCATTCTTTTCCTACAATTGATGCTCTGTACTACAGGTGGAGTTCTCTAACACTCCTTCTTATGTTCTTTCAGCAATGTTTACTCTGACTTCCTTACTAAATGCCCTTTTGTTTACCTAATCTCTATTTTTTTCCTTTAAGAAGGAGCCAAATGTGTGACCCTATCCAGAGAAGCAGCAACACTAGAGATGGCGGCAAAGATGATGACATAGAGAGATTGAGTAGCTGAAGACTCTAGACTCATGGAAAGAGAAAGTCTGTGTGCTGGTGGACAGGAGGCAGGCTTGCAGAGTATGCCCTTTGGTTGTTTAAATGCTTATATATTCCTGAGTGGTTTTGCATACATTAAAAAAAAAAAAAAAAGGCAACAGAAGCAAATACTGTTAAATGATGATGCTTAGAGGGGATTGTAATCATTGCAATGAAACAAAACACTATAGGATGAGTGCAAAACTGATGTTCTCCCAAGTAAACGATCACTCAATTCACAATAAAAACTATATAAAAAAAAGAAAAAGAACGACTACAAAAACCATTATCTTGTGGAGAAGCTTTCTTTTCCTAACACCTACATCAACAAAACTGTACACACACCCATACCGGATCACGCACCATACTCTAGGCTCCCAAGAAGTCCTGTGGACAGATTGATTAGAGCACTCGTTACAGTTTTACAATTACTGAACATTTACTTAACTCTGCTCCCTCATCGGCTTGCCCATTTTTTAAAATCAATTTTAACCAAAACCAGTTGCTGTCAAGATCATTCTCACTCATGTGTCAAATTATTGGCATATAATATAATGCACCCGTTTCAGGTATATAGCTTGATGAAATCTGACAAATACACATGCCCATGTAATTATCATGACAATCAGGAAATACAGCATTTTTATCACCACCAAAACATATCTAATCCCACCCCCACAATAGTCCCTTGCCTGGTCTCTTTTTAACAAAAGATACTGATATTCTTCTCTTTTTAACAAAAGATACTGATATTCTATCAAGATTTTTCTTTTTCACATTTACCCCTTGAATATACATGCTTGATTTTTTTATACTACATGTAGACATTATTTTCACTTAAAATTCAATACTTTTATTTTAGAGTATAAGTAGATGATTATAATTTATTACTACATTGAAGATCCACCACTCACCTGCCAGTTTTTTTGCACTGTGGTAGTTGCTGGAAGCTATGCCACCTGTATTTTGAACACCGAAAAGTATTACCCATGATGGACAGCTTTCAGCTGAGAAACACAGACTCAAAAAGGAGAGACAGACTAGTTCCAAATATTTAGTCACTGAAAAACCTTATAATTAGATGTAAAACACTGTCAGAGAGCACCAGAATACTGAATATTTAAATATGATTAATAGAATCAGAATATTGCCAGATACAGTGCCGGAAGCTGAGCCCCTCAGGTTGTAAGACACTCAAAATATGAGGGCAAAGAGCTGCCTCCTCAAAGTCGAATTGACTGTGATGATGCAAATGGAGTGAAGCTTTCAAGACCTTATTTGCTGATGGGACACAACTCAAAACAAGGAGAAACAGCTGCAAACATCCATTAATAACTGGAACATCGAATTACAAAGTATGAATCTAGGAAAACTGGAAGTTGTTAAAATGAAGTGGAATGCATAAATATCAGTATCCTAGGCATTAGTGAGCTCTCAAATCTTCAATGTAAAGGGAAAGCATTGTTAAGTTTGACTTGGTCACCATCGTAGGCCTGACTCCCTCTCACCATTATCTGATTTCCCATTTAGGTCTGCCTACAAGGAAAGCGTGTACTGTATCTTCCAACCTAAATATTCCAGGACATGGAACTGTTGTACTTCTATAAATTAATGGATTATAATGTTGAACCAGTTTCAGTGGAGCTTCCAGATGAAAGCAGACTATGAAGAAAAGCCTATCAATCTACTGCAGAGAATCAGCCAGTGAAGGACTACGAATCTCAGCAGTCGGATCCACAACAAATTAAGGGGATGGGGCAGGACTGGGCAGCATGTCATTCTATTGTGCATAAGGTTACCATGAGTCAGGATCCACCCTGATAGACAATAACATTTTCTTTTCATACATCAATCTCATAAACAATTAATATGAGTTTGTCCCCAGAAAGAATGGATCTACAGTTACATTTATGAGAAAATGAAATCTCTAGCCTTTAAAGCTGAGAATGAAATCCTGGACAACCAACTAACAAAATAGTTAAGCCTCTCAGGAGAGAGTTGATCTGTCTGGTAGCCAGAATACCACTGGCTCAGTTTTCTCTGTTATATTTCTATACACAGTTTTTGTTGTTACATCTTGTTAAGGGTTTTCAAAGAGTGGCTGGTGTGTTGAACCACTGGCCTTGTGGTTAGCCGTCCAGTGCTTACTCTACAGCACCACGCCAGGACTCCATACACAGTAGATGTTTGAAGTTCCTTGCTTTTGTACTTCTCTCTGAGGTACTCTCTTCCATGCATTAAAACCTCTAATGCTCATTTTCTTTTCACAGCAGATAAAATAGGTATATCCCAAGCTCAGTGAACAGTCAGATCTTTTCTAGTATAATTAAAAGGTATAATTTATCATTTATAATGAAGGAATAAGAGCATTCATATTTCTCTCTTTCTCCCCACCTTCCTTTCTCACACACACACACACACACATTAACATTTCATATAAATCAAATGAATTTTAATAATAGACTTTAAAAAAGAAAAAGAGTCACAAAAGGGTAGCCTCAGGAGAGAAGGTAAGCTGGAGAACACCCACCAGCTACGCACTGGTGATACATGAGATTAAGATGCTAATTGGATGAACATCCTCATTTTTTAAAGTTCTACACTTCAAATCATCTGAATCACTGTGAAGTTATCAATGTCTAAAGGACATAACACTGACTTACTGTTCCCCACTCATGGCTGTATCCATGGCCCCTGAATAAAGATTTGCCCTGCTGACCTTTGGCCCTAGCTACACGAAGAATGATACTCTCAGCAAACCCACCAATAGTCCAATGTGTCACGCAGAATGGTCTTACCTCCTCTGTCTTTAAGACTTCCCATATTCGAGCATGATCTTCCACCAGCCAGTGTCCACTGCTGTCTACCTTGGTGGAGAGTTTGAATTTAGACACCACTTGAGTAGTCTCTCCCATGGTTTTCCCCTCCATCTTGAAAGAACGAGGCAGGAGGCATTACGGATCTGTGTGCAAGAATAAAGTGTGCCACAAGTTAAAATGTTAAATATCATCAAAAGATACATGAAAGCAAATGACCGTGTTCGATTTGTGAATAATGAGACCATTGCTTTGCAAGAGGTTTTATGGCCCTTTTATATATTCTAAATATTCATTATTGGACATTTGTTGCAGGTTTCTGGAGGGAATGATGCATTTTGGTAGTAGAAGAAGAGATACACAGCTTGTAAGGCAGAATGAAAAGCATCATCCACTTGTTATATCTGCTCATCCCCTTGCTCTGACTTCCCCAGGAGGAGAGCTGGCAACGGGTGGCCATAAGTTGCACCTGAGTGACAGTTTCATATTTCCATGCCATGGGATGCATGTGGTTATGAAATCAGGAGTTTACTTATTGGCTCTTTAAACATCTATTGGCTACTGTTGATAACAGCCTCCACGCTGGTAACAAACAAATAATATTCAGTAGTATGGTAGTGTAGTGGTTACGAGTCAGGCTGCTAACTACTAACCAGCAATTCGAAACTACCAGCTTTTCCGCAGGAGAAAGATGAGGCTTTCTGCTCCCATAAAGATTTACAGCCTCGGAAACCCTGTACGGTGTCACTAGGAGTCTGTTCTGATTCCACAGCACATAACAACAACAAGAAGCATATCCAGCTCAGTTACTATTAGCGAATGCTTGTAACACTGTTCCTCACCCCATGAGACTAGAGTCCTCTCTCCCCTTTTGGCACTCCGTGTTCTGGACAGATTTCTATCATGTCATCTACACTACTTTATTACATTCATTTGCTTTCAACTCAATATCCAACTTCTAGTCTTATAAGCTCCTTGAAACTAGAAACAGTGTTATATGGACAAGAGTAAGTCAAATGTATTATTACTAGGGTGCCAAGTTCATACAAACGCCGGTTCATTCCAAACAAAACATCTTTAAACATATCTCAGCAATAACTAGATGACTGCAGACAAGTTCTCTCCAGAATACACTTGTTTTAATGTCATCAAGTTATCTTCACAAAAATTGAAAAAAAAGACTCGCATGAAAACAGTAACTTCCAAGGTATTCTGTTGAGTCAGTTAAATTTAAGGCAGAGTGGGACCCACTCAGGAGGTTATAACAGGAGTTTTTTTAGAATGCCCAAGGGGTCATCATGATAGATTTTCTGGAAAGACAGAGGACAATCATTGGGGCTTATTATGAAGAGGTTTTCAGAAAAGTTAAAATTGCATTGGTGAAAAAAAGTCAGCAAAGTTGTGAAAGTTACTTGTGTTTCATAACAATGTACTTGCTCATACTTTGAGGGTAGCAAGAGCTGTTCTACAAAAATTTTGTTGGGATATCTTACCCCCATCTAACTCTCCAGGCCTGTTTTCTGGTCCCTAAACTCAAAGAAAATTTAAAAGGAACAAAGTTTGAGACCCTTGATGATGACAAAATTGCTGTTTTGACATAGTGTAAATGGAAGATCACAGAATTCTTTGGGGAGATGAAAATATCGTTTTCCAAAGTGTATAGACCTAGGTAGAGGATATGCTAACAAATAATAGCTACACATTTTTAATTTCTTTCTAGTAACGGATTCTATGATTTTATACCACCAGTCATCTGTCAGTTTGTCATACTGTGGTAATTGAGTGCTGCTATGATTCTGGAAGCTATGCCAACAAGTATTTTAAATACCAGCAGGGTCATCCGTGGTGGACAGGTTTCAGCTGAGCTTGCAACTAAGACCATGGAAAAGCAGACAACTTTTGAAAGGTTAGTCACTGAATACCTTACAAATAGGAACAGAACATTGTCAGATACAGTGCTAGAAGATAAAAACCTTATGAATAGTAGTAAAACATTGTCAGATATAGTGCCAGAAGATGAAAACAGTATGAATATCACCAAAATATTGTCAGATATAGTGCCAGAAGATGAGATCCTCACGTTGGAAAGCATTCAAAATATGACTGGGTCTAAGAGCTGTCTCCTCAAAGTAGAGTTGACCATAATGAAGTTAACTAAGCAAAAATTTGGGGACCTTCATTGGCTAATGGGGCACAACTCAAAATGAGAAGAAACAGCTGTTGTTGTTATTGCTTTTGCTGTTGTTGAGTGTCCTCAAGTTGGTTCTGACTCATAGCAGCCCTGAATAGGGACTCCAAGGCTGTAAATCTTGGCAGGAGCAGAAGGTATCATTTTTCTCTTGCAGACCAGCTGAGAAACACCTGCAAACATCCATTAAAAATCAGCACATGGAATGTATAAAGTATGAATCTAGGAAAATAGGAAGGTGTCAATAATGAAAACGAACACATAAAAATCAAAATCCTAGGTATTAGTGAGCTAAAATGTACTGGTATTGACCATTTAAAATCTGACAATCATATAGTTTAGTATGCTGGGAACATCAAATTGAAGAGGAATGGCATCACATTCATGGTCAAAAAGAACATTTCAAGACCTGTCTTGAAGTACAATACTGTCTGTGATAGGATATTATCCATATGCATATAAAGAAGACTAGCTAAAACCACTATAATTCAAATCTACACTTCAGTCACTAAAGCCAGTGATGATGAAACTAAACAATTCTGCCAATTTCTTCTCAGTTTGCTGTATGGTAGTGGCTTGCATGTTACTATGATTTTGGAAGGTATGCCACTAGTATTTTAAATAGCAGGTAGGATTTCAGCAGAGACAGGTTTCAGCAGAGCTTCCAGACGGAGGCAGACTAGGAAGATGGAGAGGCATATTACGTCTGACTGGCTAGTCACTAAAAAGCTTATGAATAGCAACAGAATATGATCAGATAGAGTGCCTGAAGTTGAGTCCCTCAACTTCTGGAAGGTTGGAAGGCAGTCAAAATACCAGTGGGTAAACACTGCCTCCTCAAAATAGAGTTGTCCATAACGTCATGAATGGAGTAAAGCTTTTGGGACCTTAACTAGCTGATGGGGCACAACTCAAAATGAGGAGATACCACTGCAAACATCCATGAATACCCAGAATACAGAATATATGAAGTACAAATCTAGAAAGGGGCGAACTGTGGAACAATCAATTACTCATATGTAAGTTCAGATTGAACCTGAAGAAAATTAAAGCAAGTCCACAAGAGCCAAAATATGACCTTGAGTATCATTGTTGTTGTTAAATGCCTTCGAGTTGATTCCGACTCATAGCGATCCTGTACAAGGTTATATTGTAGCAGGTAAATCTGCTGCAAAAGACTTATTTACATTGTGAAAAAGCAAGATATCAGTTTGAGAACTAAGGTGTGGCTGATCCAAGCCAAGGTATTTTCAATCACTTCATATGCATGTGAAAGCTGGACAATAAATAAGGAAGACTGCAGAAGAATCAATGCATTTAAATCACGGTGTTGGAGAAGAATATTAAAACACCATGGACTGCCAGAAAAACAAACAAATCTGCTTTGGAAGAAGTACAACCAGAATGCTCCCTAGAAGCCAGTATGGTGATGTTTCATCTTTCATATTTTGGACATGTTATCTGTAGGGATGATTCCCTGAAGCAGAACTGGCTATGGGTTGGAACCAATTCGACAGCACTCATGGTGATCCAGTGAACAATGGAAGACACACTGCTCAGATGAAAGCATTGTAATCCACAGGGTGGTCATTGGCTCATTTCTAGGAGACTGCCAGGTCTTTATCCTACTCTGGAAGCTCTGCTGAAACGTGTTCAGCATCATAGCAACCAGCAATGCTTCCCTGACAGACAAATGGTGACTGTGCATGAGACGCATTGGCCAGACTAGAGCCAATCCAGGTCTCCTTCATGAAAAGTGAGATTCTATCACTGAATCACTATTGCTGTTCTTGTTAAATGTGGTGGAGTCGAGTCCCACTTGTAGAGACCCTGTATAGGATTTCCATTGAGTAGCTGGTGAGTTTGAACTACCGATCTTGCGGTTCAAACCATCCTTGGGGTCAAATTCTATCCTAGGGCACCACACCCAGACACCTGACTCACCATTTCTGGTTGTTGTTATGTGCTGTTGAGTCAGTTCTGACCTATAACCACCCAGTACAGGGTTTCTAAAGAGCAACTAGGGAGCTTGAAACACAGACCTTGAGGCTCAAACCAACTTTGCAGTCCAGCGCATTAACCCATAGTGCCACACCAGGACTCCTATATCACCATGTTGTTGTTGTTAGGGGCCATCAAGTCAGTACCTACTAATAGCAACCCTATGCACAACTGAACGAAACACTGCCCAGTCCCGGGCCAACCTCACAATTGTTGTCTCACTTGTAACCTTTGATGCTGCCACTTTGACTATCCATCTTGCTGGGGGTCTTCCTCTTTTTTTCTGACCCTCCACCTTACCAAACATGATATCCTGCTCCAGCGACTGGTACCTCCTGACAATATGTCCAAAGTATGAGAGATAAAATTTGGCCATCCTGGCCTCCAAGGAACACTCTGGCTGCACTTCTTCCAACACAGATCTATTGGTTCTTTTGGCAGCCCACGGCACTTTCAATAATCTCCTCCAACACCATAACTCAAATGCATCAATTCTTCTACAGTCTTCCTTATTTACTGTCCGGCTTTCACATGCATATGAGGTTATTGAAAATACCATGGCTTGGGTCAGGCACACCTTAAGTCTTCAAGGTGACATCTTTGCTCTTCAACACTTTTTAAAAATCTTGTACAGCAGATTTGCCTAATGATTTCATTTGATTTCTTGACTGCTGCTTCCATGAGTGTTGATAATTGATCCAAGAATGAAGTCCTTGACAACTTCAATCTTTTCTTCATTGATAAGAATGTTGTTTATTGGTCCAATGGTGAGAATTTTTGTTTCCTTTACATTGAGATGCAATCCATACTGAAGGCTGTGCTCTTTGAGCTTCATCAGTAAGTATTTTAAATCCTCTTCACTTTCAGCAAGCAAGGTTGTATCATCTGCATATCACAGGTTGTTAATGAGTCTTCCTGCAATCTTGATGCTACGTTTTTCTTCATGGAACCTAGCTT